GCGGGCCGCCCCGCCCGTCGCTCGCCGCCCTGGGCCTACTCCTCGGCCTGGGGTTGCTGCTGGGCTCAGGTACGGCGGTGGGCCGGGGCCCGACGGGGCGGGAAGGCGGGGGGCCGCAGGACGTGGGGTCGGGGAGGACCGCGGGGACCGCGAGGGCGCGTCCCTCTCCCCCTCCCCGGGCGTGGGTGGCGGGCGGGCAGCGCCCTGCGCCGTGCGGGGCGGCAGCTGCGGGGAGGAAGGCGGATGCAGCCCTGGAAGCGGCGGGAGGGGGGGCGGGCGGTTCTGTGCAAGCGTTTGGCTCCAGCTGGAGCGATTTTGCCCGTATTTATCCTTATCGTGAGGTAGATCGTAGGGAGAGGGCGTCCGATCTCAGTCAGATCGCTGTTCGTTCGCACCTCTCCCTGCCGAGAGTCTGCTGGAAGCAGCAAGAAAATTCCCTAAAGTTTCTTGCTGGGAAGGTGTGGAGGGACAGATTTATTAGACTTATGTGATAACTTGACTGACTGGCTTAGCTAGACTAATTTATATTTGATTAAAATATTATCACGAATCATAACAGAAAGGAAATACAAGAAAAATTTTGATGCTTTGGAAGTCAGACTCCGAACCAATATGGCCTGTGTCATTTTGCGTGGCATAGACCTTTTTTATTTGTGTATCTGCAAACACAGACTTTGATGGTGGGGTGTTTGTTTTGTTTTGTTTTGTTTTCTTTTACAAGGCTACATATCACTTGCACAAAGATGAAGTGACAAACTTAACTGGTCACTCTTGGGTATGGATTAGAGAATTCCTCCTTCTGCTCTATGTTGTCTTGGGATTTTGACAGGAGGTTTGTGTCAGCTACCCATCCCAGGCAGAACATGTTGCCCTTATAAATTCATGGTTTGGATATTCAGAGTAAGTCACGAGAGTGAGTGACTCACAGGAGGGCCAACTAAGGGGCAAGCAAAGAAATTGCTAATATCCTTTTATCACTATACAAATTGAAGAAAACACCTGTGTTTGAAAACAAAAAGTGCAACATTACTGTTCAGTCCATTTCCCACTCCTCATCTCAGGAGTTTAGGAACATTTTAATTAGGCTGCTAAAATCGGACTATTTTACTTTGCTTATGCCTATTTTACTTGAAGGACGCGCAAAGCAAGGGAAATGTTGTAAAGAGGTGTTTGAGGGGAGGAAAAAGAGTATCTGTTAGTTATATTGTATTTTCCCGTTTTTTCACACTTCATTGTGTCTTTGTAAGCATTCTTGTGGTGTTCAGAATCTGCTTGATTGAACAACAGTTTGAAATTAAAGATAAATGTATGCACAGCCAAATTGTATAGGTCATAAAAGGGACAAATAAGCACAGCATGTTTTTAGTAGATATTTTTTGGGTGCTTGCACAGCTATTGCATGAAGTCTTGCACATACTCTTGATGAAAGTCTGTTTTTTGGCTGTTTTCAGTTCTTTGCATGGGAGGGAAGCCTTTCTCTCCTTTGACTGGGGTCCTAGTTTTTAACCCCTGTGGCTCTTTCCTTTAGTGCAACTTGCAGCCTTATTTGTTTCGTTTCTGCTCCTCATGAGTCCTCATGTGAAAGTTACCTGCAGAAGGCTGCTGTTAGCTGCCCTGAGAATCTGTAAAGGATTTCAGACCATGACAGTGAGAGCTGTGGAGGAGAGGGCTGTAAAACTCCAGTTTGCTTGCTGGGGTGGTAATTATGCTTTCTTTGTGGAAATCAGGTGACCAGATAAGGTCTAACTGGTTTGTTCGTGTAAACTGAACTGTGTACCTGTTGCATACATCTGATAAGGTTTTCATGGGGAGAGGATTTCTTTGTTCCTTGTCTTATTATTGAACTATACTGTAAGAGGTACAGCTGTTGCAGTGTATGGATTCCTTTGCTGGCAATTGGCACTTCAGACAGCTGTGGGTATTCTCACTCATTTGTCCCAAAAAGCAAGCAGTGAAGCTTTAACTATGCAGTGCCAGGGAAATCACGCAAGCTGAATTTATGGCATGCCCACTTCCCTACCCTCCTTCCCTCCAGACTGCTTTCTAGGAGAGAAACTTAGATTTCTGTTTCATTCAGTCTGGTTTTGTCTATACTTACATTGTTTGCCGCCTTTACCACATCCTCCTAAGGGGCAGGATTCTGTTTAAAAGTTCAGTAACTTGTGTAAGGCAGTGAAAGACTAAATGGGGACTTGCTTGTTGACTAAGTAATTAACTTAAGCACAGAACTGCAGCATCACCTTCATGTCTGGAAAGAAGTGCTGGGCCCATACTTGGCAGGAGTTAGTGCTCTTAATTTCCATCTACACAATATTAAGTAATGGATTAAGTCACGCATGGGTCATCTCAGCCTTTGAGATGGTCTGTATTGCTATCTTTATGCCTCCCAACCTCTTTTTCTGTATTATATATTGTTTCCCTAATGGGTGAGCGCTGTCCATTGTCTTCAGGTTGTTTTCTAACAGTCCCTGTTGGTGTGGAATGGGGTATTGCAATCGAAGAGGTTTCCTTGATTTCTCTGTGCCATCTGTTTCGTGCTTAGGTGATTGCCAGCTGCAAACATCTTGTCGAATCCAGAAGTGCACGACCGATTTTGTCTCCTTAACTTCGTATCTAAACTCAACTCTTGAGGACTTTGATTTGGAGTTCTGCAAGGCCCTGCGAGGGTACTCTGCCTGTACCTACCGCAATTCCAAAGTATGCCGTGGAAACCTAGACTACCATTCTGTGGTGCTTGGGATCAGCGACCTCATGAGACAGAGAAACTGTTCCAAAGATGGACCCACATCCTCCACCAACCCTGAAATCACCCAAGATCCCTGCGACTACAGTGGCCACACAGAAGCCAGAAAACATCAGGGAGGGGAGAAGAGTCCTCCTACTACTTACTTATTTTGTGGCTTGTTTGGTGATCCTCATCTGAGGACTTTTAAGGATCACTTCCAGACGTGCAAAGTGGAAGGCGCTTGGCCCCTGATAGACAATAACTACTTATCAGTGCAAGTGACCAACGTACCTGTGGTCCCAGGATCCAGTGCGACTGCTACAAATAAGGTATGGATTGTAAGGTAATACAATTACAAATAAGGTATGGATTGCACACTGTGCAGGCGTGCAGAAGTAAAAGGCAAAGACAGTAGAGTAAGTCACTTAGCCCTTAACAGTTAACAAGTGGAGCAGGTTGAGATTACAGTAGTCTAGGAGATTAAAACTGTCAGCCTCTTCTTTTCTGAGAATCGAAGTAAACTTAAATCAGGTCCTTTTCTTACTCTTTTCCCCACCACAAGAAAACCTTGTACATATCACCACATAAGCCTTCAAGGATACTGAGCGTAACGCTTTAAAGCAGTTATACTTTAATTGCAGCAGATCGCAGCATCTGTGACTGCACTAAGTAGAAATTCTTGACGAGGAGCAAATAAAAGGTGTAAGTAATTCTCTAAATTGTGTAGCCATAACAGTAGAAAACAAAAAATCCTGTCAGTGGCACAACAAATGAGTTATCAAGGCACCAAGGGTTTGGAGCAAAGACAAGAAGGGGTAGTGCAGAGAATTGAGGTAGGAAAAAATTGCATCGATGCCAAGTGATTGTCAGAAGAGCTTAGGAGCCTGGCTTTACTAAAGAAGCAGCATCCTGAAAATTCTGCTTAGAGTGTAAGTCCCTGTTCAGCCAGGCAAGACTTAAGATTGCTCTCCTCTTGGCCACTTGAGGTGGCTGGAGGAGGAATACATGCACTCATATTGATAGCTTTTTAGCTAAATCAATTTAGATTGTGCCATTTCCTTACTCTAAGAATCTGGAACTTGTCTCTTTCCGCTGAAGGAGATAGCAAGGAAGAAAATGAGCTATAAAGCATGAGCCTGGCTAAGATTTACCTCCAGAGCCATGGGTGAAAAATGCTCTGAACTTTTAGAGACTTGCACATACGTTTGAAGCTGTGGCTGTTACATATCTCATTCCCTTTTTGGAGTGAAATGGCCACTTCTGTGGTAGTGTAGCTCTTCTAATGTCAAGAAGGCAAGTCAAGCTATGTGTACACAGTTTCAGTACCGCCAATACTGGGGAATTTTAACTATTTTTGTTAAGCTCAGAAATAGGTTTTTTATTACCAAGGTCGAGAGCAGGGTGTGCCACTCACAGTAGGTTAGAGCCTGCACATCTTCCACAGAGATGACTGTGCAGTAATATTAATAACTGAAAATCAGTCTTGCTATTGCATTCATGCTGGGTTCTGAGGTACTGAGTAATATCAGTGCTTGTATGACTGAGGGAAATTTTTGCATTTGCCAGAAACCAGAGGCTGGACTGAAATTCAGAATCACCTTTTATAAACTTGTGCCTGTTCCAAGAACAGTCTGCATCATGAATGGGTTCTGAGGAGTATAAAATGAGGGAATGAGGCTGACCTGAGTAAGCTTTCCAAAAAGACTTAGGTCCCTTGAAATATGCTCCAGTGGCTCTTTTTGAAGTACAAGAAAAAGTTGCGTTTCGTAATCTGGGGTAAGCTTTTGTCCTCAGTTTTGTTGAGGTGTTGCAGAGTGTTCTGTATTTCCTCATTCCTGGTAATTCTGGAGCAAAAAGTTGAGAGTTGTCTTGTGTACAAATTGTGTGGGTGGCTAGGGTGTGATGGTAGTAGATAAGCGATCTTATCTTACCCTTTAGCCACATTCCGACAATAACCTGCCACCACAGCGAATCAATGCTGGTTTAGGTCTTCTCAAACCAAGGGGAGAACTTCAGGAGGTAAATGTCTGTACGTACTATAGGAAAGTATGTGTTTGAAAGCAAATACCTTCTGCCTTTATTTATTCTCAATGTCTTTGTGTTTTTATTTGACTTGTCATTCTGGAAAAAGTGGTAATATGTTTTTCTCTTTTATAATAGTGGTTTACTACCCCTGCTGTTGCACAAGTACATCTAAGTGTGTAGAAGCAATATGGTTTGGGATGTTGGAAGTGTCTCTAATGCTAATATCTGTTATGTATTATACAGTCCTTGTGTTATTTCTTTTTTTGGAAGTAATCAAACTTATCAGAACACTTGCTTGTAGGAAATGAACATTGTTTGAATGTACAAGTAACTTAACAAGGTAACTTTTAATATCTCTAATGCATCCTCTTGACTCCTTTATTTGTTTATGGAGCAGACTGTGAAAGATTCAGAACAGGCTTGTTAAACTAGACTACCACTGCTAGTTTAATTCCTGTGAAATTTTTTCCTCTGCAAGTGTTCAATTTTGATTGTGGTGGTGGTCTGCCTCTTGCTGGGAATAATTCCCTAATTTTGGCCACAGTGTGGTTTAAGGCACCTTTAAAGTGCTACCAAGAGAAGTTCAGTTACTTTTATCTATGTACCGTGTTTTCCCTAGCTGAGAGTGTGCAAATAGGTCCTCTACCTTTTTCATAAGAAAAGTTTCCAGAACGTTATCCGTTGTTGGTCTTGCTAATTTTTCATTGCGGATATTTGAGATAGGGGTTTAATGGGAAATAATAACAAAGGTTTGTGCTGAACTTAAATTGTACAGAAGCCAAAGCAAATACTAAATGGCTAACTAGCCTACTTAATCCATTCTAAAGCACACCTAATGAAGGCAAAGAGAAAAAAAGCAGAAAATACAGTTTATCCTGAATGCACTTTTTTAGGGGAAGAGATTTAAGAAGCTGCAGGAACAGAATATTTAATCTTCACACCATATGCAATGGGCTTTTGAAAGGGGTGTACCATCACTTGCCCTCATAGGTATGTATCATAGCTTTCTGGTGTACCATGCATTAAGGACATCAGCAGTGAAGGGATCATTATGTGTAAAGTAAGTTAGCTTCTGTCTGCGTAACCTATGAGACTTGAGTAACCCTAACAGTGTGAGGGCTGTCCATTAAGTTCATAAAGGACAAGAGAATGCCAGGAGGAGACTTTAAGAAAGAATGTGAAGGACGAAAGTATGTTCCCAAACTCCTGGTACATCTGGTGGGAAAATATGAAAAAGAGGAAAAGTCTTCCTTTAATTCCTAAATTGGAACAGTACATCTTCTTCTGGGAGTTGCGTATTTATTCACGAAATGGTCTTGGCAATTTGTTTGTAGGTGTTTTGCATATTTGTGATGCCCATAGTAACAACATCTGTTTCTTCACAGTGAACAAAGCTATTGTATGTTCTGTGGTCTCCCTGAAACTTGAAAATCCAGTTTTTTTGAGCTTGTCTGATGTGCTCATGCTCCTTGGCATAGGATCCTGGGGCCTTTTAGATGGAGAATGAAGGATCATCACCAAGGAGCTGGGAAACGGAGTTAAATCTCTCCTTTCTTTTTCTATCTGATGGGTTTCCTGTATTAGTTTTGGGAAGGTCACTGGCATCTTTATGTCTGATTTCTACAGCTATAGATAAAGAGCTTCCCTGTCTTGGGAGCTGTTTGGGATTTCGTGAGAATAAATGACTATTACAAGGGGATGTATAGGGAGCAGGTAGGAAGGGTATTGTAGAATGCATTAAATAGGAATGGCTTTTTTATTTATTGCGTGCTTTATTTGGAGGGGTGCAAAGGCTTCGTTGGCTTTCATCACTGTGACAGGTTTTCTGGGTATCATTAGCACAGTCATCCCTGTATAGTAAATGAGGCAGAGATGCTTGGGCTTGCCTGGGGAAAATTTTCCTTCTTGTTTGCAGCAACTGGAAATGGAGTTTTTCCTATCCTGGTGTTTTGTAGTGGATAGCTTAAAGGTGAGAGAGTGAGTAGAAGGACAGAGAAGGAAAAAAAACACAGAGCTGTTACTGTAGTGGATTTACTGGGCGTATAGCTTTGTTCCTGGGAATTGGTGGTATTAGCAGGGTAGGGAAAGATTACACATAAGCGTTTTGACTCTGGGAAAAACACTTAAGTCTCTTTTGCAGCATGGTTTCTATTTTTGCAGGAAATCACTGCAGACTGAACACAGTGTGCCTAGCTTTCTTTAAGTAATATTAAAACATTTATCTTCCAGTTAACCATTCAGTTGTTCTTTTAAGTAAGAACATCAGATAACTGATCATGTGTGATTAGTTTTTTTGTCTTTGTGGACATCGTGCCGAAGGTAAAGATGAATTTATTTCTCAGAAGTAGTAGATACTCCAGTTTTGTTAGAGGACATCATGGAATCATTTATGTTGGAAGAAACCTTTAAGATCATCTAGTCCAACCATAAGCCTAGCACTGCCAAGTCTCACTAAACCATGTCCCTAATGTCACATCTGCAGCTCTTTTAAGTACTTCCAAAGGTGGTGACTCAACCAGCTCCCTGAGCAGTCTGTTCCAATGATGGACAATCCTTTCAATGAAGAAATTTTTCCCAATACAAACCTCCCTTAGTGCAACTTGAGGCTATTTCCTTTTGTCCTATTGCCTGTGACTTGGGAGAGGAGCCTGACCCCCACCTCGCTACAACCTCCTTTCAGGTAGTTGTAGAGAACAATAAGGTCTCCCCTCAGCCTCCTTTTCTCCAGACTGAACAACCCCATTTTCCTCAGCCTCTTCTCATAAGACTTTTTCTCCATACCCTTCACCACCTTCATTGGTCTTCTTTGGACACACAGTCCATACACTCCACAGGGCAGCCTGGCCTTACTAGAGGTGCTTCTGTAGGATAAGCTGTGGCATTTTGGCAGGCGTTAAACTGTTTTCTTGTCAGTGATGATTCCAGGGGTGCTGGACAACAGCTACAGGCATTTCAGTACCTTCAATGCCTGCTTTTAGGGGGTGGAGAAGGAAGAAGAGATGTGTACATACTCAGCAGCATCTATCCGATTGTTTTTTAAAGCCTCCAGCGTCTCAATGGCGCAGTAGGACAGAGAATAAATCCATTTTTATAAGTGGCTTTTTTTTCCTCAGATATGGAATGGGAGGTAATGTTGTGCACTTAAAAAGCCTTTATTGCCATGTAAGTTTTACAGTCCTACTGTTGGGAGATGAACATCTGTCCCTCTCTTTTCCTTTAGACTGAATTGGTGCATAAGGAAAGCATCTGAATGTTTTCTCATAGGCGTGAGGTAGAGCATGCAGAACTAAAGATAAATGTAGAT